ACAAAACAATACTTTAAAATCCACAACAGTCACAGTTTCCGTGGCGCTGGATATTTCGAAAGCCCCCCGGCCTGCTGGAGCAGCCAGGACTTAACAGCTTTGTGGAAGGCTGGGAGGGTAGCAAGGGTCTGGATCTCCACGGGGAGGTCGTTCCAGAGGGCTGGAGCTGCGACAGAGAAGGCTCTCCCCTGGGGAGTCGCCAGCCGACATTGGCTGGCAGATGGAATCCGGAAAAGACCTAACCTGTGAGATCTAATCGGTCTGTGGGAGGTAATCGGCAGGAGGCGGCTTAATATCCGGGGAGGTCTTATTTTCGGGAAAACAGGGTAGGAGTTCATGAGGAGGAATTTAGAGGGTAGTTTGGGCAGTCAACAGTCCATTCCAACTATCCTCAAAAGGCGTGCAAAAAACCTGCATTTCCTCCAGGGCAAGGAATGTGTGGTGGGAAGAGCAAAATGCATGCAGAATGCAAATCGGGATAGGTCATTATATACACCTTGACGTGTGTTTGCTTTTAATTCTCGCCAGGCTACCCGAGGATTGGTGAGGAAAGACACACACACACAGCAGTACAGCGCATGCAACGATCTTCAGCCAGCAATTTTACCTTTGCTTTATCCCTCATGGATCCTTTTCCCAATATTGACATTTTTGTCAATGTCTCCTCTTGCAAGCGCTTCAGAGAATTGCCACGCGGGCCCAAAAGTTTCCCCACAAAGTTGAACTGAAAGACAAAAGGAGCAACAATAAAAAAAACCAATAAAGTATCAGTGCAACAGTGCTGAGAAGCTGTAAGCTTGACTTAAGATTCGTGCCGGGGAATAAAAAATAAAAAAAATGCTGCTGAAAACAGCACTTGTCTATTTCTGGGAAATAAAGAAACACATTAAGCTGTAAATTTTGCTGCCGCTGAGAATGAAAGGAGGAACAGAGGGGGGGGAAAATTACCACCATAATGCTAGCACTTTTGCTGCTAGAAGCTTTCTCTGCATTAAAAAAAGTTCTAGGTAATACGAAGCTACATAAGGATGAAAAAGGCACAAAGTATTTTGTAGGGATCTGAAAGCAAAAATCTGGAGCTCCAATTCTGTCAAAAATAATAAAATGATACCCATCGAGTTGCATCCGTTTCAGTGACAAACAGATACAGGGAGGCCTCATTTTAAAACCACAACTGAGCCCAAAATGTATGTCGCTAAGCAAGACAGCTGTTGAGTTTCGCCCAATTTTATGACCTGTCCTGCCACACTGGTTAAGTGAGTCACTGCAGCTGTGAAGGAAATAACACAGTTATTAAGTAAGTCTGCCCCTCTCGTTGACTTTTCTTGTCAGAAGGTCCAAAAAAAAGGGATCACAGAATCCCAGGTCACTGCGACAATCATAAATGTATGCCAGTTGCCGAGCGTCCACTGCTGCCATCAAACTAAACAGTGAGGCAGTTTGTTAAAAGGCACTCAATTGTGCCTCTGTAAAAAGTGGCGAGGACAGGAAAAAGATGTACTCTCCTCATCCAACGCAAAAAATGCAGATGTTGCTTTGAACGCTGTTCCTTCTAGGAATCTTTAATGGGGAAATGGAGAAAAAAATTACAATACAACAGTGGTTCCCAAACTTGGCAACTTTAAGACTTGTGGACTTCAACTCCCAGAGTGGACTTCAACTCCCAGAGCAGAGCTGGCTGGAGAATTCTGGGAGTTGAAGTCCACAAGTCTTAAAGTTGCCAAGTTTGGGAACCACTGCAATACATAATACTACACATATTAACCTCAAGTAGAATCCTTTTAGCACAGAATTGGAAACAAGCAAGATACTCTCCCAGACCCAATTATAAGAAGGAAAATGTATGAATGCGCAGAAATGGATAGACTGTCTATGGAAATGAAGGAGAGGGGAGAAACCGAGTACTATCACATTTGGAAGAGACGGTATTCCTGAGAGTAAACATAAAACTTAAGGTACAAACGGTAAAAGTATAATATATAGAGTGTATTTAAATAAGGACATAGCTTAGGATAGTGACATAGAAATAGAATTTTTGGTGAATAGGATTCTTATAAAAGATATGGATACTGATATGGAAAAGCTGTTATAAGTATAAATTTGTGTTTCATGTTTTAAATGCTAGAAAATTCAATAAATACTATTTTTTTTAAAAAAATGCTCTCAGTTGTGCCTCTGTAAAAAGTGGCCAAAACAGGAGAAAGATGTGCTCTCCTCTCTCAATGCAGATGTTGATTTGCACACTTCACTAAGGATGATGTGTGGATAACACCATGAGCTATGGGCAAAATTTCCACTGATCCATTTTCTCCCTTTATCTCACAAGTCAGAGAAAGGCAAGGTCCAGACCAGGTGGCTGGGGAATTCTGCGAGTTGAAGTCCACAAGTCTTAAAGTTGACAAGATTGGACATTTCTGGTTTAGACACTGAAAATGTTCATCTCTACTGGGAAGGGACAGAGATTGACAGGAGATGACACTGACATTCTAGGGCAAAGCAAGACAAGACTTGACAGAACCAGCCGAGATGGTTTCCAGCAGTGAGAAGGCAATCTGTCTCTGATCTGACCCTCAAGAGATAAAAACCTAAAAATAAGCTCTCTCTTGAGGGGGAAGAAAATGGTCCCCTTGAGGACGGAATGGCCTTTTGATGAATGGAAGATGGCAAAAGTACCAGCGATGCAGGGATGTAAGCTGTAGCATTCATGTTCTCTGGGCAGATTATTTCAGCTCTTTTGGGATGGCTCAAAAGGAGCCCTAGAGATTACTCAGAGCTGTGGAATTTATTGTTCTTTTTTTTTGCCTTTCAAACGCCTGCAGAATTTCTATCGGATTGACTGTCATGGAGCTGGAGAAACCTGTCCAGTTAAGATACTTAGATGGCAATCACTGCATCCAAGTTTTGCCTTACCATTTTGTGGATTTTCTGCAGTTCTTGGTCCCTTAGCCCATAACTGGGAAAATATTTCAATGCAGAAAACTGTGTCAGGCTGTACCTTAGCATGAACATGTGTAACCGCTGGGATGCATCTGCATTTGGAAAAGCCACGGCGGCACAGCGGTGAGAATGCAGAATGGCAGGCCTGAGTATTAACTGGCTCGTTTCCAAGATACAGCTTCAAGTCAAAATTGCGTCCAAATAATTCAAAATTAGGAGCCGTGGTGGTGCAGGTTAGAGTGCAGTACTGCAGGCTACTTCTGATGACTGCCAGCTGCCTGCAAATTTGACAGTTCAAATCTCACCAGGCTCCAGGTTAACTCAGCTTTTCATCCTTCCAAGGTGGATAAAATGAGCACCCAGATTGTTAGGGGCAAGATGCTGACTCTGTAAACTGCTTAGAGAGGGCTGTAAAAGCACAAGGAAGCAGTATATAGTCTTATTGCTATTGCTATTAGATATATGTACAGGTGGTCCTCAACGTATGACCACAATGGAGGTCCAAATTGCTAAGGCATTTATCTTATGACATTTCTTAAGTGAGTTTTGCCTCATTTTATGACTCTCTTTGCCACAGTTGTTAAGTAAATCACTGCAGTTGTTAAGTTGGTACCGGGGTGAAGTGAATCGGATTTCCCCATTGACTTTGCTTATGAGAAGGTTGCAAATGGGACCACGTGACTCCAGGACAGGACGACTGTCATAAATATGAGTCACTCACAAGCATCTGAATTTCGATCACATGACCATGGAGATGCTGCAACGGTCACATGTGTGAAAAGAGGTCTTTTTTTTCCCCCAGTGCTGTTGTAAGTGAACAGTCTCTAAATATAAAGTGTTGTAAGCCAAGAGTTACGAGTATTTATGACAGTCGTCCTGTCCTGGAGTCACGTGGTCCCATTTGCACCCTTCTCATAAGCAAAGTCAATGGGGAAATCCGATTCCCTTCACCCCGGTACCAACTTAACAA